TCACTCCCTCCCCCCTCCATCACACACCCTCCTGTCCATCACTCTCCACCACTCTCCACCACTCTCTCCACCACTCTCTTCACTACCCTCTCTCCACCACTCTCTCTCTACCACTCCCTCCCCCCTCCATCACTCTCCCTTCCATCACTCTCCCCTCCATCACTCCCCCCTCATTCTCCACCACTCCCTCCCCCCTCCCTTTAACACTCAATGTAGTAGAATACATTTATGTAATTCTATCAAATACACTTTGATTTTCCCTATTCAAGTCTAAATATCATAAGGAATTCTTAGGATTAAGTTGTGAAATATACATTTTAGGCCATCCTGTGACATTCCTGTGACATTCCTGTCCATTCCTGTCCATTCCTGTGGATTCCTGTGCCATTCCTGCAGGAATCAGTGGGGCATGACGAAGTACTGATCCATCAAGTCGCTCTTCGACTGGGACTGCTGACTCGAGCTGATCATACCAAGGGCGTTCATTTAGAAGGAATGAGGTTGGTGTCCATGGTGCCCATTGCTCATCATTCCTGTACCAATCAGGATTTCTGGCAGTGTCGATCAGTAAGATCTGACCAGAATCGGAGAAGTCCTCAACAGTCCATCCAGAGTTAGGAAGATTCCTGAAGACTATCGCTGTGTCTGGGATTAATGTTGTGTCCGAGTTGAGTCCTACCCAGATAATGTCTCGATCAACTCTGATCATCGTAAGTGCAGTAGGATTGAGGTGTGAATTAACGAATCCATGACAATGAAATCGAGCAGGACAGTCCTCTGCAAGATCGATTGTGCTCCCAACTTTCACTTGCGGACAGTCCCAACAAATGAATGCAGGGGGTATGGAAGGTGAGGGAAAAAGGGGCGAACAGATCCAGCCGACTTTTGATTAAACACATGTCCTTGATTGATGGAACAGATATATCCATGCACCTGACATGCGCTCTAGCAATGTTGTCAATTCTAAAAAATAAAAGAAAAAGGTTTTGAGTATAGTTATACGATGATTGAGAAAAAATAAGAGGTAACCAGAATGAAAGGGAAGCATAGTCATGTGATGGCAGGTTGTGTTTTACAGGTTGTGTTTGGCATGGTATTCCTTCAACAAGACCAGAGAGTTCTTCAGATCAGTGGCTGTGCCCCAAGTGTCGAACTGTGGGCCATAGTTTGTCCATTGTATAAGGTACTTCAAAGCTGCTTTTCTTCCAATTCTCTGATGGCCTACTATTTTCTCAACTTTGAATTCCTCTGATTCTAGTCTCCTGGTAAAGGATTCAGGTAGCATTGTTCAATCCATTTGAATCTTGTCCTCCATATACTTTTTAAGGTGCTGAACATTGATGACAGGAGAGCCCAGATAATTATCCCCCATCCTGAGCCGATATATGTTAGGATTGATCCTTTGGAGTACTTTGAAGGGGCCGATCCACCAAGCGGTAAGTTTGGCTCCCTCCCCTTTTGATTCTATCCACTCCAGAGAGTGAGGGTTGACTAAAACTTTATCTCCCACTTTTAGCTCGAGTGCCTTTCATCCTTTGTTGTGGCTTCGAGCTTGATGATGCTGTGCATGTGCTATGGCTTGCCTGGCACTTTCTCTAAGCATCTGCAGTTGGGCTAGCCATTCTTCTGAGTTTGACCATTTAACGACTTCTCCTTTCAATTCTTTCGGTGACAGGAAGTCCAGTGGGGTACGTGGTTCGAATCTGAACATCAGGAAGTTGGGAGTTGTCCCTGTTGAGCTATGCACGCTAGTGTTGTACACCCACTCCCAGAGCAGTAACCACAAAGCCCAAGACTCTTTGTTGTTGGAGATGAATGCTCTCAGCATTACTTCCAGAAAGCGATTAATCCAGAAGTCTGATGTCCATCTGTCTCTATCACAGATAATGCTTTCTGGGAGCCCAAATTGACAGATTATCTTCCTAACGAATAAGGTGCTGAAGTCTTCAGCATTCAGTCCTGTGGTAGTCGGAGTAAACGTGCCATGCTTGGTCAGTTGGTCCACTACAACATGGATCACATTGTAGCCTTCCAACCAAGGGAGGTTGATGAAGTCCATTGCTACGGACTGGTACAGTCTGCTGGGGATGGGATTGGGAATGAGATACCCGTACTTATTGAAGTTCAGGGATTTTATTTTCTGACATACATCACAAGTTTGAACAAATCTGACAAGGTCGGCTTTCATCCTTTTCCAGTAGAATTTCCTGCTTAATTTTTGCCATAGCTTCTCTGGTCCTTGATGAGCGCCTTCAAAAGCTTGTTTGTGGGCTTCCTCTAGAATTAATCTCCTATGATCCAATGGTACACACAGCCTTGGCTGATAGTCAGTGTCTCTGAAAAACATCAACCCATCCTCGTTCTTGAAGAAGCGATGACCTGGCACCCATTGTTCCATATCTTTGTGAAGTGTGTGTCTTTCAGTACTTTACCCTCCCCCACAGATTCCAGATGGACTCCATCTGGACTCCATCCAGGAAGGACCTCACCCTACATTTTTGTTGAAAATCCATCTGGACTCCACATCGACTCCACCTGGAATCCAAGTGGCCTCCAGATGGATTCAATCAGAGTTCCAACATGGACTCTGCCTTGCACAAATTATAAAAAAATCCCAACTTTAGCCAGATGTCATATGACTTAATCTAACTCAGACCTTATGTTCAATCCTAAGAATTCCTTGTGATATTTCTATTTGAACAAAGAAAATTCAAGTGTATTTATTGAATAGAACTACATACATGTATTTTACTACTTCAAATGGAGAGGGGAGGAAGTGATAGGGAGAGGGAGGGGAAGGGAGTGATGGAGGGGAAGGAATTGATGAAGGGGGGAGGGGGTGATGGAGGGAAAGGGAGTGATAGAGGGGAGGGAGTGGTGGAGGGGAGGGAGTGGTGGAGGGATAGAGGGGAGGGAGTGATGGAGGGGAGGGAGTGGTGGAGGGATGGAGGGAAGGGGGTGAGGGAGGGAATGGAGGGGGGAGACAATAGTGAGGACTCACCATGAATGTGGACACATTGTAGACATCGACATGGGTCATTGATGCATCATGGACTTTGACGTGGGTTGTTGATGCATCATGGACGTGGATGCAGGCTGTTGAGGTGTTGTGGATGTTGACACGGGCCGTTGTCACGTCGTTGACATGGGTCGTCGTCGTGTTGTTGTTGATGTGGGTCGTGGCTGTGTTGTTGTCATGGGTTGTGGTCGCATTGTCGTTGATGTGGGTCGTGGCCGTGTTGTTGTTATGGGTTGTGGTCGCGTCGTCATTGATGTGGGTCATGGCCGTGTTGTCGTCGTGGGTCATCGCTGCATTGTTGTCATGGGTTGTGGTCGCGTCATGGTCGACATGGGTCGTGGTCCTGGTCGTGGTCCTGGGTGATTGTCATGTCGTCATCGTCGCTTTGCGCAGTGGATGGGTGGGGTCGTGGTGACGTGGCATTGACATGTTGGGGGATCGTGGTTCTCGTGGTTGTGCTGGTGATGGTTGTGCTTTGTTGTCGCGGTCTGTCATTGTCGTGGGTGTGGGGTGAGAGTGGTACCTACCACTTTTATGATAAAACCTGGGCATTTGCCTGCACAGTCTTTTCAATCCCCCCAAGTGAAATATGAAATGAAATGCCTAGGCTATTTCATTCTTGCTTTGCAGCTATTTCATTCCTACCCACCACATTTTTCATTTCTCCTTGGCAATGAAATGCATTTCATTCTTTTGCCTGTGCTTTTTCATAACTTTTTCATTCTTTGCCAACTTTATTTCTTTTCTTTTCATTCTTTGCCAGTATCATTTCATTCTTTTGCCTGCGCTTTTTCATAATTTTTTTTTCATTCTTTGCCAGTCCTATTTCATTCCATTGCCTGCACCTTTTCATAACTTATTATTTCATTGTTTGCCATGTTTAAGGTTAGGGTTGCACTTAAAAAAAATGAAACTCATTTCATTGCTTCTCTAAGCCTTTTCATAACTAGACACATTATTTGTTTGTAAATAATAAACATATGTATTCTCAAATTATTAGCTATAGTTTGACCTAATCAACCCCTGGCTTGTGATCTTTACATTTGTTTGTATTTGAGGCCATAATCTAACTTAATTGAGCAATAAACATGTAAATTGAGGCAACTAAAAGATCACATGTCTTATATTTTGATCCCATCATAACCAAACAAATACATAAGTTATGAAAAAGCACAGGCAAATGAATGAAATAAGACTGACAAAGAATGAAAAAAATTATGAAAAAGCGCAGGCAAAAGAATGAAATGATACTGGCAAAGAATGAAAAGAAAAGAAATAAAGTTGGCAAAGAATGAAAAAGTTATGAAAAAGCACAGGCAAAAGAATGAAATGCATTTCATTGCCAAGGAGAAATGAAAAATGTGGTGGGTAGGAATGAAATAGCTGCAAAGCAAGAATGAAATAGCCTAGGCATTTCATTTCATATTTCACTTGGGGGGATTGAAAAGACTGTGCAGGCAAATGCCCAGGTTTTATCATAAAAGTGGTAGGCACTAGTGCTTCTACATGCAATGCTGTTTGGTCGTCCTGCTCACCAACAAGCTACTGGACATTAACTTCCTTTCCCATTTTCTGGTATCTCACAACATCCTTCCGTTCTACTCCACTCAACTTTTCTTTTCCCCACAGACATTTTCTTTTCTTTCCCCACAGACATTTTCTTATTTCCACAAACAGACAATTCCCCTCCCTCCTCTTCCCCTTTTCTACATATTATAGGTATTATAGGACAACGCTACCATCAATGGACATTTTTCTTGCGAGTTTCTCCAGGCGCACAGTGCCTGGGGGACTCTGCATACACCTATTTATGCCTTTACTTAAGATTTCAAACCTTTGAACCCTCCCACGATTAGATTCTACAATTACTGACACGCATCGTATTCATAGGAATACGCCAACGTTAGAATCGACGGACGAACTCTAACAATTTTATGACAAGACAGTCAGAGTGTGGGATGCTCAGACAGGTCAGAGTGTCATGGATCCTCTCAAAGGACATGATCACCATGTTACTTCAGTTGCATTTTCTCCTGATGGGAGGTACATTGTCTCTGGATCTCATGGCAAGACAGTCAGAGTATGGGATGCTCAAACAGGTCAGAGTGTCATGCATCCTTTCAAAGGCCATGATGATTGGGTTACTTCAGTTGCATTTTCTCCTGATGGCAGGCACATTGTCTCTGCATCTATGACAAGACAGTCAGAGTGTGGGATGCTCAGACAGGTCAGAATGTCATGCATCCTCTCAAAGGCCATGATGATTGTGTCACTTCAGTTGCATTTTCTCCTGAGTGGCAGGCATATTGTCTCTGGATCTCATGGCAAGACAGTCAGAGTATGGGATGCTCAAACAGGTCAGGATGTCATACATCCTTTCAAAGGCCATGATGATTGGGTTACTTCAGTTGCATTTTCTCCTGATGGCAGGCACATTGTCTCTGCATCTGATGACAAGACAGTCAGAGTGTGGGATGCTCAGACAGGTCAGAATGTCATGCATCCTCTCAAAGGCCATGATGATTGGGTTACTTCAGTTGCATTTTCTCCTGATGGCAGGCACATTGTCTCTGCATCTGATTGACAAGACAGTCAGAGTGTGGGATGCTCAGACAGGTCAGAATGTCATGCATCCTCTCAAAGGCCATGATGATTGTGTCACTTCAGTTGCATTTTCTCCTAGTGGCAGGCACATTGTCTCTGGATCTGTTGACAAGACAGTGAGAGTGTGGGATGCTCAAACAGGTCAGGATGTCATGGATATTCTCAAAGGCCATGATCATTATGTTACTTCAGTTGCATTTTCTTCTGATGGCAGGCACATTGTCTCTGGATCTTGTGACAAGACAGTGAGAGTGTGGGATGCTCAAACAGGTCAGAGTGATCATGCATCCTTCAAAGGCCATGATCATTATGTTACTTCAGTTGCATTTTCTTCTGATGGCAGGCACATTGTCTCTGGATCTTATGACAGGACAGTCAGAGTGTGGGATGCTCAGACAGGTCAGAATGTCATAGATCCTGTTCAAGGCCATAATCACTATGTTACTTCAGTTGCATTTTCTCCTGATGGCAGGCACATTGTTTCTGGATCTATTGATAAGACAGTCAGAGTGTGGGATGCTCAAACAGGTCAGAGCATCATGGATCCTCTCAAAGGCCATGAGGATTGTGTTACTTCAGTTGCATTTTCTCCTGATGGCAGGCTCATTGTCTCTGGATCTGATGATAAGACAGTCAGAGTGTGGGATGCTCAGACAGGCCAGATAATCTTGGATCCCTTCACAATGTCTTGTCTTTCCACTTGTGCTACTTCAAGCAATCCTGTTGTATTACCAATCACTCCCATAAATTCTGAGGATGGGAACACTGCCATGTCTGGCTTACACCCAACCTTTTTTTGTGATTCCTACAATATGCCATTTTTAAGATTCTGTTACCGTGATAAAAATTGGATCATGCTGTCAGATAATACCTATCTCTTATGGGTGCCAGACCACAATAAATCTGGTTTGTTCTGGCCAAGAACAACTACTGTGATTGGTTGCAATCCAACTTCATTTCACTTGAAAAATTTTGTTCATGGTGTGAACTGGAGCCAGTGTTTTTCATCATCACATGATCCCATTTAAGAAGGAATTAAACCTGTTAATTTGGTAGTCTTGTTTCATATCTTTTGTGTTATTTCATTCATCAATCTGTTTTATAACCATGTTGTCATTTACCACTTACTTGTATACCTTCTTCCTCATATAAAGGGTTTTTTTTTAAAAATTAGCAGAGGTATTTGCCTCTTGAAAGTATCTACAGCTACAGAAAAAGCTAAGTTTTCATGACCAAATGGGGAGTGCTAATTGGATCATAGCTTTGGCTCATAACTAGTCATCAGCATATGAGATTTCCTATTTTTTTTCCTATGAGGTAGGTAATGCCACTGGTACAGATCTCAACCTGTAACCTACTTCCTTAAATTCAAGTATGTCTCCTAGTGCTCAGCAATGCCAAGATCCTAACAAAAACCCATCAGTTCTCAAAACACCAGCACAATAAAAGCATCTGAAACTCACCTTCTCAATCATCTTCCTTGCAATAGGGTGGAAAGCATACTTCGAAGGTTCGAAAATCCGCTTAGCAAGATCTGCATCTACCTTTCTCACAGCACGGAAAACGGGTCTGCAGAACTTCATCCGACCTTTAATAACGCCAGATCCATCCTTGCCCACAACCCAGTTGGCAGCCTCGACTGCAAAGGCTTTAGCGGCTACCGATGAAGGGTCGGCGAGGGCAACTTGGTAGAACCGGAATCTGATTTCAGCGTTTGGTGATGTGGAGAACTTGTATACGGTGCCGAGATGGTTCACTAGGAGTGATGGGAGAGGTGGGAAAGTTTGAAGACGCTCTAGGAATGCGACTAGAAGCCATATATATGTCAATTGTGATACAGCGTGATTGAGGAGATGAGAACGTACAGATTTGGGTGGATGATACATCTTGAAGATCTGACTCTGTGAAGTTGAGCTTGGAGATGTCCTCAGTGGTCCTTGCAGCATCCCATCGATCAGCCAGCTCGTAAGCTTTCTTGGCGAGTGTCAAGTCGTATTCCATCTTCACAGGAAGATCCAAGCCTCCGCCATAGAGCCACGCCTTGTTGATTGTCGTTAGCATGAACCAGGTGGGATGTAGAACGGGGTTGCTTACTTGCCAGTCAACAGTATTAAGAGCCTTGACCTTTTCCTCTCCTCCATTCTTCTCAAAATAGGTGTACAAGTGGTCTTTCCATTGATCTGTTGTGATGCTTTTACCCATGAAGGTATCGACATAGTTTCTCACGTAGGGGAGGAAGACATCTAAACCACCTAGCGTGCGTTCTACATCGTTCACAATATTAACAATCAAGGAAACAACGGAAATCCAGTGAACACCGTACCAAGGTGAAGAATAAGATTTGCACCCTTCTCATAAGGAACTTGGCTATAAGCATCGTCCGGGTCCGCGCCCCTTTCAAACGTAATTACGAGGCTCTGATACTCCGGTCGATCCTCGTATTCCTTGAGCGAATCCTTCAGAGAATTGGCCCCGATTACGAAGGAGAAGTCACGATGTGCTGGGGAGTATACGACTTGAAGGAGAAGTCGTTCCATGTAGGTTGTCCACCCCTCGTTCAACCAGAAGTGGGATGCGTGTGCGTGGCTGTGGAGAGGTAGTTGAGAACGGACGTGAATGCTGGAGAGAAAACTACAGACGTGACGCCGTTACCAAAGTATGAGTGGGAGAGTTCGTGCGCGACAACGTCGACAAGAGTTCGGTCACCAGTCAGGAGCGCTGATAGGAACGATAGGTCAATGAGGGAATGAACAGAAAGGGAAGGAACAGACTAGGAGTCAAAAAAGTTAAGCAAGCGTTTTCCTACGAGAACGGTCTATCAATATTGTCGTTCAACAGTATTCGAACTCGCCCACCATGCCTCCGTAAAGGAATGAAGGTGGCAACACAAGAACATCGTATACCCCAAATTTATACGGAGTCACGATGTTCTCAAGCTCCGCCAGGAACCTAGAACCAACTCAATTTTGCGCATCGGAAAAGTTGCGCGACCAAATATGCGGACCTTGGCGTGTCTTCACTGAACTCCCAATAAGCAGCATCGATCAACTCTGGTTCAGCCCAAACGCCGGTGGACCACGTTTTGCCCTCGTACTTTGGAAATGGGCGATAAATGATGTTGCCAGCGGCAATTGCAATCAAATACGAAGGAATCGGAATGGGCTGTGTAACGCAGAACGATCAATGACGGATTTTCTGTGAGGGACTGAAGGCAAACCTGGTCATAAGAGTAGACCACTGAATCTTTTCCGATGACTTTCCCGTCGTGTGGAGGGCCGTTTGAGGGAGGGGATACTCGAAGTGCGGAAATTAGAACGGGGAGTTTTGATGTAACCTTTGCGCTATATTTCTTGATGTGTGTCAGCAAACGGATGTATCGGTGAGTTTTTGACCACGTACAATTTTGACTGATGGTGTATCTAGAAAGATGAACTTAGGATTAGTCACAGTTGAAAGTTGGAGTAGAACCAAACCTTGAAGGGGTGCCAGTGCACGAGCGTGGATTGGTTGGCATTGGCTGAACACATACGGGAACGTTTTTCCCTGGGTTTGTCTTATGACATAGTCAGCGATTTAGTGAACCTAGCAACACGCAAAAAAATCACTCTTTCGCCAGCCATTGCAGTGCCTCGCAGTCTTTCGTCGTGGAATAAGCTATCTTGACAGAGATAGTGGCGTCTTTGATCAACCCCTCTGGTAACGGTACTTCCAGCGCTGAGCCCATGACTGGATGTTTTGGACCAACTTTGAACTATGGTCATCTGCGAGTCAGTTTCTTTCACTCGCAGCGTTTTGGAATGATCACTTGCTGAAGAGGGTTTTCCGGCTACTTCGACGAATGAGACGTCCAGATCCCGTGTGTCGAATCTATGACGGGAACCGAGGTTAAGGATTAAATTGCAAAAGGGACTTGAAAGAGACGCACATCACTTCGGAAACACCATCCTGCTTGACGATGAGGGTGTGTGTTGCGTTGCCCCCCAGGACGCTCGTTTCCAGATCAACATTCCATTCGAAATTAATACGATCTGTGGCTATTTCCAGGTAGTTCGATTGTGTAGTAGGATCTGCCATGCTTGTGAAGAGAGTTGTTGGGAGGTTGGGGATGTGTAGGCTCGTGACCAACCGTTTCTTTCAAACTCCGCAGGCTACGTTCAGAAACGGCTGGGCCGAACGGATTGAGTCATGTCGAGGTCACACTTTGTGACACGGGACTTAGTGAAATTTCGTCAAATTGGTACGTTTGCTCTGTATCGACCGTCATCTGCCCCTGACCTCATCACTCCCGTTCCTCGTCGTCCATCCAGCCAACATCGTCTTCACCCTCGTCACTATCCGACTCATCTGTATCGACAAATTCTTCATCTTCAACCATAATCTCGTCCATATCAAGCACCACATCATCCTCAGTCAACCGCGGTAAGGTTTCATCTGCCACGCCGTTCTCAATGTCTTCAAGAATTTTGTCAATCTCGCTTGTTTCGTTTGAGGCTGGCCCTTCCTCGAATTCTTCCTCGTCCCCCTCAGCAGCTGGAATTAAAGGAATTGGAGATGTAACTGGGGATGCGGGTGGAGGCTGTGTTGGGATATGTGCTGTGGCGGCCTGTTCAGAGTGTCCTTCGAGAGCAGCGAGTGATACTGGTTTCATCTTCCGCCGTCTTTGAAGCCTTTTGAAGGCCGCATTATACTCATTTAACGGATTCTTTTCACCCGCCGTTAGGTTTTGTAACCCCACTCCCACAACGTCTTTTACAACTTCTTCTTCCTTTACCATTCGCCCTTTTTGGATTTGATATACTTTATGCTCGTCGAGGCTGCTCATCAGACTTTCAATATCATCTTTAAGATCTGGTGGTGCATGTTTTGTGCCCTGGTCGCCTCCAAGAGTGTCGTTCAAGGTCTTCTGCAGATCACCAAGTACGACAACACAGGGTGAAATGGTTTCGAGCCATTCCCATGATGCGTTTGACCCCCGAGCTTTATAGGAAATCTAAATACCAAGAATCAATGAAAGTTCTCATTCACAAATTTCTCACTCACTTTGATCTTGAAATTGAGGTGCTCTTGTGCGAGGTCCATCTCAATATTGCGGTTTGGCAGACCGGATGGATTCACCAACCAGTTTTTCAAAACAATATTTCTATGTTGAAGTTTTATTCGTTATTCTAACAGAGCAAGAAATAACGTACCGGATTTCCTCTGGCCAAACGTGGTTTAAATTATGAATTAGATGAAGCATCTCGTATGCGTATTTTGTTCGGCCATTTCTGCGGAAGCTAAGTGCCCATATCTTCTGGACTAACATAACTCGCCCAGAATCA